AAGAGAAAGCTTACCAAATTTCTTTAAACTTACTTGAAAATTCTGACGATAAAACAGACACTGACAACGATAAACAGGAATCCACAAAATGCTCCAATAATCACGGCGCAAGTAGTACTTCAGTAAATAATCTATCTTTAACCAGATCTCCATCACTAACGATCGACGATTGTAATGTGTCTCATCACTCTTCCGAGGATATCACGAAATATCCCGAAAACGACGTCCAGGACGAAGATACGGTCACGTCGGAATTGAAAGTTGACGGTATACCAAGCGACGTGATGGCTGCTTTTGAGCTCGCGGCAGAGCGCGCGCGCAATCTTCACGAGGCAGTCATTATATATCATAGAAATTTAACGTCGAAGGAATCTGGGAAACGAAATGAGAAAACGGACGAAGATTACGAAACGTCGGAGTTCCGAGATGATCGGCATTGTCCCGGGATACATACCCCTTTCACAAGTCGCGAAAATGAAGATAAGATAAAATTAGAATGCGAAGCGATGTGTCACCTCGCGAACAACGGTGAAGATTTCGACGGATTCTCAACGTACTCGTCGCGCGGCAGTACTTCCGATCGAATATGCGACTTTGAAAGTTTTTCGAGATCATCGAAAGAGGATTATTTCGGGATAGACCAGGAAGAAAAAAATAATGTTCTTTCAGAAAATAAACGAGCGAGGTCGACTTTAAACGAAAGTTCTGATTCCGACGACACGGAGTATTTAATACAAATATTGAGAGAAATACAATCGAGGAGAAATAGAAGTAACAAAAATTTTGGAACGAAAGGAGCGACTAATAAAACTTTGGCACTTCCTGTGGCGATTAAAGAAACTTGCCTTATATCGCGTGAAAATCTTATTTCTTTTATTTATTGCATCGTCTGTACTGTAGTGTTTTGGTTTTTACAATTTTCGTTCCGATGTGACTCAACAAAGTAATCTCTCTGTAATCTACATTTATATGTTTTTGACTCTGCATAGTATGATATTGATTTCGTTGATATTCGTTTAAGTTGTGTTCCCTTTGGTTTCAATAAATATATTCCCTGTACATGTTATATTTTTTTATTGTATTTGTATTTTATTCGATTGTATTTTATCCATCCTCAGTCCTATTACTCGTGTCCGAGCGTGGTGACTTCTCTTCATATAAATGTGTTGCGCACGTGGATTATACACATTGTATCCATATACAATAACTGTAGGTTCCATAACCTACAGTTTAACGCCGATTTCGAACGGCAATTTTTTTAGAGAAGTTTTCGTGGCAAGACATACTTACTCTCGGTGGTTTGCCATTGCCTTCCGAGAGGAAAACGAGCGAATAAAATTTTCTAGCTCTACCGAGAATCGAACCCGGGACCTTTGGCTTAATAAACCAGTGCGCTGTCTACTAGGCCACGCTCGTCTCCAGATTGTATTTTATAGATATATCCATTTATCGGACGTTTTGCGTTATATAAAAGTATAAACTTACGAAAACTTAAAAAAAATGCATGTCGAAAAGTTTCTCCTGCAAAGTAACAATGAAACTCTGTAAAACGTCTGTGTAACAATAAAAAGTTTAATACTGGAAGGAAAAAAAGGTTGAACTATTTATTTTACGCTAGTTCGATAATATATCCTGCGTGTTAAAAATGCTAACTTCTCATCAATTTCATATACGTACTATTTTCAATAAAGTCTCATTATATTATATATATTATTGAAATCGAGAGACACAGTAGTGTCTTACGCCAAGTATACGCGAAGCGAGACCGCACCGTGATTAATATCTACTACAAATAACATTCAAAATTGACAAATTGTTTATGAGAGACAAATTTGTAAAAATCGTTGCTTAAACATTATTCACGTAGTATAATATCCAGATAAAGCCACAATTCTTTATCTACGTTATCACGCTGATCGGATGATTCAACCAGGATGCACCTGGCATTCTTAGCGATATGTTACATATTTGAAAATGAACTCGAATCATCACGTAGCCATTCATTCGGCATCAAGGACGTCAACGGTTGCGCAACCGGTGATGTCGACCAATTCTTTCGAAGTGAAAGTGGCGATTATCTTCTGCTCTCCGGACTTTTGCGGCACGAGCTGATGCTCCACGTAAACGTTCTCCTCGGGCCCGACGTCCCTGAAGGCCAAGGTCTTGTTCCTGGAGAGACCGGGCCCGGCATAGTTGAACTGGCAATTGGTCAGAGTCCTCTTCAAAGGATTCTTAAAACTCAACGTGATGGTCGATGGTTTTCCAACCACTGGTTCACCTTCGATCTACAACATCAGAAATAGTTCGGAGATAGTTTCTTTAGTGAGAGAAATCTCTTCAGATATTTTTACGTGTAAAAACTGGATAAATATATTTTGAAAAAATATATTTATATCTATATTTTGAAAATCTATATTTAGAATCTATATTTAAATCTATATTTAGAATCTATATTTAGTCTATATTTTGAAAAAATCCCAGTTTGATTGATTGTTCTTATACAATACCTTGACATCGATATTCGGCTTTAAAACCTGAAAGTCATCCTCGTCTGCCCAAGTTTGCCGGGTTTCCTTGACCGTAGCAATACAATATAACTTCATAATGCAATACTCCACCAGCTTATCTAGGTAATCGTTCACCGTCACGCTGAGCCTTAATTGTTCCACTGTAATGGATTAAATTGAGAATTATGTGATCTAAACGTAAAAATTGCATATTACTGATGGCGTAGTTTATTTTTGAGGCAAATTAACGCAAAGAAGTTAGATAACGACGCAGTAAAAAGTTACACGATTTTTTCTTATTCGCTGATGATTGCCCATTAAATTATGTCATCACCCAGGAATTCCGGAGACAAAATTAACCGAAGCTAATCAGTCGCTTTTCTCGTTGATGATAGAACATTAGCATTAGTTATGGAAATAAAACGAATTAAACGTTGCGAATTTAATGCCAAATTTAACGACTTTGTCCATTTTCAATATTAAATCATTTGTAAATATCGTGTTCCCTTATAGATTAAAATCCCATTACAATATTATAATTAAAAAATCATTTGTCTACTTTTGCGGCCTTGCTTAAACTCATAATCCTTCAGCTTCGATTACTTAATTACGAGTTAAGAATTATCGGCGCTTTGACAAATTACCATTTTATCTATCTACTTCTAACATTAATGCAGCATTTATTTCCAGCGGCATTAAATGACTCTTGCCGCGAGCGTTTGAGAAAAAAAAATAAAAAACAATTCTCACCGGCGTTCGGTTGAAGCACAAAATCGCCGGACGCTCTCTTCACCAGATTCGCCTTAACTCCGGTATAATAAACGCTGCCGGCTGACAGGATGGCCTGAATAGTGCGCGTCTCGTCGGACTTGTTCTTGATGTTCACGGTCACGGCGAACGGCTCGCCGATATTGACGCGTTCGAGCTCAATAAGATCAAACTCGACGTCCTCTTTACCCGGCGATGGCATCGAGTAGAATCTCTTCGCCATCTCGGTGCTGCGCACCGCCCTGTACAGGGTCAACCTCTCGACCTCGGTGCCTAAAAGTCGGTCAGAGATAAATCGAGTTTACAGTCAGCCGTGTAAAAAGAGGACGAAAAATATGGAGTGACTTGAATTAACGTACGTAACATGAATTATGAATTAATATTGCAAATAATGGAAATATAATCCAAATTTTACTGAAAATTTCCAAATACTTTCACTGGTCGTGTTAGGGGTAAATTTATAAAAGAATATGGATCGTCGGAGAGTGAAGGCAATTTGCTTGCATCGTTTACCTTCCTTGGCTTTGTAAACCGACGTTATGTCCTGCCTATCCTTGTCTCCATTAGGATCGAAGATCCATGGCGCCTTTGTTAAAATCATTCGGCCGATGCTGCGAAGATAATTTATTGATTTTTGCATTTGATTTGCAGCATGCGCGAAACGTGCCGAGGTCCTTTTTATTATTCAGGATCAGCAATTATTGCTTTTTACGAGAAGAAAGTGATAATTTGACAATTAATACATAACATGGATTATTAATGAGTACTAAAAATCATAGAGAAAGAATATAAGTGGAGTTTCTGGAAACTCCCATGACGAGATAGGCGTGAGAAACAATAATGTGCGGAATAATAGATATATAATCCATTACGCGGAGACGTTCATCGTTTGCAACTTAAACGAGTCGACCGTCAAGTCTGTCATATTTATGCTTGCGCTTTGCATTATCTATGTTCGCCTCGGCGTCGCGGAAATTATGGAAATCGCGAGTACACAGTAATTCATGCTTTATGACGCGTCGAAGGACGATGTAATTGCGAATCGCAGGATCGGCAAATAGCGCAAAAGGCTCGCGCTTTTCCGTTTCCGTCGCTGGTACACCCGTCGTTCACTCGTCCGACTCGCTTTTATACATTTCACGCTTCATATGTAGCTGTCATAGCTATTTCCGTCCGCGACGAATTTGCTTGTACCGCATGAATGATCAGCGAATGAAATCATCACAAAAAAATATCGAATGAAACGTAGAGAGAGATGTTCTTTGGGACTTGGGACAGGCTCGAGGGGCATTAATTATTCTACGATTCCGCGCGAGAGTGCTGATTAAATAATTGCTTATTTGTCACGGTAATATTCAACGGTGCGAGAAACTTAGTTTGACAAACTCATAAATTTAAATTTGCAATTTAAATTCAGATAATATATAATCCTATCAAATTTTGATAAATGATGTGATCTTCTCTATAATACAGTATATTTTACAGTAATTTGTCAATACAAATTTTCAGTATAATATTTTAACAAATGTTGGCAAAGAATCTATTATCCGGTTCACGATTTTCCTCAATTTTCTCTGTTTTACTTTAATGAATTATTAAATTTTGAATATAATTTAATGACAACTTTAATAAAATTATATTCCAAGAGGATTTTCCTCAAAGAATATAACGTTATTTTCAATGAACGCAAAACTACCGTGTACTTACTGATACTTGTTGCAGTCGATCTTGGAATATCCCAGGTCGCTCTCCGGGTCCTCCTTCCATCTCATTAGATCCGCGTTCACGGACGCTACCATAAAGGTCACGTCGTAATTGTAACCGACGGCACCCTCCTTGACGGCCTCCACCGACGCCGGCCCACATTGATAAAAGTTGTCTGATTGTTCCTGAGGAGTGGCGTCGATGGCCTGCCAACCTCCGTAACCCTTGGGGAGATCCGGTCTCGCCATCCACACGTCGTTCCACACGTGGTAATTCCAGATGGAGTCCTCGCCCATGGGGTTGTTCGGGTCGTACTCGAGTTCCTCGTTATTCAGATCGTAGTAACGATCCACCGATAGCGAGGCATTGGCGTCGTGGGCCGATACCAGATTGGACACCACTCTCGACGGGATCCCCAGGGCGCGACACACCGTGGTGACGACCCCGGCGAAGACCCAGCATTGACCGTATTTTACCTCATTGCCGGTCTCCCAGAACTGCTCGAGGATGGGCACGCTTCCGGTCCAGCCGGACGGCGCGGTGCCGTCGCTGTAATCGCCGTCCCAGCGGCCGGTTATCACACCCTTATCGTCGTTAGAGTTTATCTAAGAACAGTGGAAAAGGAAATTGTACTTGATTTCGATTTAAAGATAATTATTTAAGTGAAAAAAGTGCTATATTGCTATGTATAGCCGTTTCGAGTTTGAAAATGAACTGAACGTCGCGATATTTTCGTTTCTAATTATTTCAGTTGGAATAAGAATAACTAATCATGCGATACATCCTGATTTAATTAATAATCATAAAAGCGAATTATTAGATTACTTGTAATTCTGAGCAAACTCATAATAATTCGAATGTCATTGCCAATCCTAAAATAAGTTTGGAATAAAGTAAGGATATATTACGATTCTCGAGATCGCCCGAGCCATTCTGACCGGGTCGCCCCTGGAAATCGCCTTGATACCGGATCTCTCGAGCAACAACTGACAAGCCGGTAGCACACACGCGTCGAATTGCCCAAATACCCATTCTCTGCCACGGGAGCTACCCCATGGACCCACCCATATCTTCCCGACGTCATTGAGGATGTACTCGTCGAGCAGTTGGTCGTCCTCCATATACACCAAATCCTCTACATTACATTTAATTAATACATTATATTTAATTACATTTTTTAAATATTTCATAATTATTTAAAAATAAGAACAATTATTTAGAAGATTATCGGATCTATCGCTGAGATTATCAGATTCAAATTCCGCGATATCTTTAAACGTCCTGCTTGTTGTTGATTGAGCTTGCGTACCTTTCAGCCACGGATTGAAGAGTAAATAGATATCTTTATCATAGCTGTAAGTATTCGGCGCTTGTCTTCTACCGAGGGTGTTGGTCTCCACGTTCAATTGCCATACGCCGACGGGACTGTCGATCGGACTTCTGACCTCGACGGACAGATCCCCGTCTTGAGCGCCGATCATCCGAACGCCCCAAGCCTCCAAATCGGTCAGGTAAGTCTCCCTGCTGGTGACCGTGTTCACTCCCCTGGTGCCCCGTAGCACGTTGGGGTTCGGGCCGAAGCTGAAGAGCAGCCGGACGATGTCGGTTTCGTCCACGTACTCGCGGTTGAATCTCAGAGCCATGTGGAAGGCCTGTCCTCGTCGGAGGACGGGAATCGCGGGATCCTGGTGGACCATTTCAAAATTGAAGGTGCGATGGGTCTCGGCATTCTCCTTCTCGTACAAGTACACCGCTTCAACTATCAGCGGCTCCTCGAATGACATCTGAAGAGATCAGGATAAATTATAAAATGTCTTACGAGATTATATTAACTTATAAAAATTTAGTTTCTTAAAACAGAATGTGTTTTGGAAATTTTGAGGACTAGTCCTTCCTCTGAAAATTCTAATCCCTAATTTTTTTTAATTATCAGTGATATTATAATTATAATTACTTTAAAGTTTAATAAAATGTCCACGCAAGATTGTGCATATGTGTTGAGAGAGATATGAATCTTCTTGTTAGAAATCAACAGTCATGTTAAAGATATTGATTATATACGGAAGTGAAGTATGATTCTGTGCATCAATCGCAATTCTGCAACCTCATTCCCAAGTATTGGCTACAGCGAGGCTGTAACCGGGATGTGTCCTCATTGTCGGATCGCATGAGTGGTCCGTATCCGTCATTGATTCACCCGCGATGGCATTGCATAAAAGTTCGGGAAAAATTCCGAGTGCGTAATCCGCGTAATCCGGTGTCCCGTAAAGGGGCGATCGATCGGAGAGCGGCGGCGTCAAGCGACCTCGATCCTCGATCGCTGATTCACCCGGATCGGATCACCGCGCAGGTGAAATGCGGGATTCCACCTGTATCGCGCGGTATATACATGCCGCGCGTGGCTCACACATTCTCGAGCACCCGGTGAATTACCGTGAAAACCACTCGTACATTATTATTATATCGGTTGTAGAAATGAAACCGGTATTTCGAGACGATTCCCCCCCTTATTTGATGAATAAGTTGCGTTGCGCAAGCTACAACGTTTCTTCGTCTTGTTTTGAAAGCGAGTTGTATTTCGTGATATCGTAATCGAATAAGATGTCTTGGTCTTTTTATGAGTGAACCTCAGTTTGATAATATATAATTAACAGCACTGTCACCAATAATGCTATAACGGGACGGATAGATGAACAACAAGATTTTAAAATGCGAGTAATATTCGGAGAATGGAGATAAAAAAAAAACTAAATCTCTGCGGTTAATTTTTCATATTTTTCCATAAAAAGTGAATAAATTTAAATAATTCAAATAAATCATGCAGTTTAGCACGAAATTAACTTGAAACGTATAATAAATAATATAGTTTGCTTTACATATTATTCTTTGTATATATAATTATGTAAATACGTGACTAATTTTTTTATGTTAATTAATAAAATAGATAAAACCAATAGGGAACATAATTTAAAAATAGATTTAAAAAAATTTAGATCGGTAATAATTCCATTGGACTACATCGTTTATACAAATTAATTTCAATATAAAACATAACGATTTGTAATATATAATTAAGGATTTAATCTACAAAACTTATAAGTACATATTTTATTGGTCGTGAATGTGCTTGCCATCTTTTAATGCTGTTGCAGCAATCAATTTTATATATTATATATGTTTAATTAATTTTATCGGTAAGTCATATCATCGTTTCTTGCTTCCAATCTCTCTTAGTCGGCTTATTATATAAAAAACATAAAATTTGAACTTACCTTAAAATCACTTATGTTACAAATCAACGGCTGAAGAAACCGCGAAACAGAACAACCACGAACGACAATCAATTTACAAGTTACACCGCAAACGCACTGACGTTCGTAAACGCGTGCTACGTCTTATATGAGATACAGCTTCCTCTACGGAGTAACCGCAAAGTCCCCACTACAGCAATAATCGCGTGTAGCATTTAGATCTCTGAGTGAACGAGTCGATATGAACTCAAAACGCGCGACTTTATGTATATGAACGGAAATGAAAAATTGATTAATTTTATAACCGCTTAAATATTTATTTATGACTCAAAATGAAATGGTTTATCAAATATAATTTTCGAGAGATAGAAAATATTTCGACGATTTCCATCAAAACTGCAGAGAACATTTTTCTATTATGAGAGAAAAATAGAATTAACTTTGTGTTTTTAATGCATGTCTTTAATTATATTTACGAATATTACAAAAATTACTTAAATAGATTTTTTTAAATGATTAATTCAATTTTTCGACGATCCTTCTTTTGGCCTCTGTACATATTATTCAAATCTGAAAAAAAGTTATTACTTCACATTTTAAGACATATCGCACCCCTGCTATCAACTCAGAAAATTTCGATTTTGAGTTAAGTCCATAAAAAGTATGTCTAAAATGTTACTTATATGCTATAATAGTATCACAAGTTTATATATGCGAAATTCGTTCCACGGGACAGCGTCATTATTCTTTTAAACTGATTATATTGTGGTTTCCTGGATGAAAGTGTCATAAGTCATAAGTGAATTGAGAAGTGAATCATAGCAGACCTCTTCAAGAAACAGTACAAGTTTTATTACAACAAAACAAACGTCATCGTAATTGCGTTAGTTATTTCACAATTCAAAAAAATTGAATTAAATTTTTTTCTTTCTCCTGAAAATTGTGAACTGTTGAATTGTGACAGTATTCTTCTAGGGGTGCGACATATATGTAGAATGGCAATCGTCATTTAAAATGCCAACAAATACAGTTCTTCTGATCCTAAAAAGTTAATTTGAAATTATTCGTTCGAAATAAACTCTCTAATTAGACGGACGTATCTTATCGACTTGCGATGCAGCGGTAATTAACTCGATAAACCGCAGGCTCTCGTGGGTGGTGGACGTTGCGGTCAGTCTGCAAATTAATCGCTGAAATGGGAAATGCCTGCGTAGAAGGAAACGGAACGTAATCCGGGAGTGAGGTGAATGTTTGTACGACGGCTTGATGTTTTCACAAATTTATTTGCATCCTGTGTATCGAGCTACACAAATTACGTAGTAAATTATTGGTCTGTAGTTGTTTTTGGATTCTCTCCCGCCACGCGATTCCTCGCGTGCGCGCAATAATTGCGAGATCCGATAATTGCGGGCACGAATCTCTTTCCCTCTTTGCGATCGTGCAATTTCATCGTTAACAGATATGCCCCTCAATTGTGCATTTTGAGTATCGCGTTTAAAGGTCTCTCGCCCAATATCTTTCGCAATTAAGCTCCACAGACGAAAGATTTTAAGAAAAATGTAACACTTTCTATCTGATTTCTTTTTTACTTTCTGTTTCATAAAATAAATAACTGGACACTTTTATACAAAAAAAGAGAAATTTATTTTTAAAAACATAAAAAAGCAATAAGAAAATTCAATAATAGAAATTTATATACAATTTTAAGGATGTAAATTATATATTATATTGCACAGAGAAAACAATCCCTGCTTTAGCTGCCCATCATAAATATATGCTACTCAGAATTTGAAAATTTCTATCTCATGTCAGATGTCCAATCGAGTATATACAGAGACCTTTAATCGCGTTCGGCGATACGCGAAACGCACTCCTTCGACATCAATCTCGCAACACATACACACTCGTATATATCCTTAAATAAACGGACCGTGTGTGTTGAGCACCCATCTAAAATGTCTAAAAACATTATGGTAAGGCAAGTAGCAGTCATATGTAAACAAGAACGAGGAATAGATTACTATCGACTACGTAATACAATTAACTAACGCAACATCCGCTTCAGGTAATTTCCGGATCGGGGATTTCATCGTCTTGTGTGCTTCGCATTTTCTCTCTCAATCATCATCTCTCACGCTTCATCGCGGTCTCGTAAGGGTTGCGTTGTTCACGCGGGAAAAATGCCCTTCTCGTCGCAGATTCATACGATGATGATCATTAATCTGCTATCACTCACAGAAAACTGACAAAATTTTCAATAACAGAATATACTTAATATATATATTCTTTATATAAAACAAGAGATCATAAAAACAAGTTGAAAGAAACTTTTTAAAATTATATCCCTATTCGAGTTAAAATCTGAATCATAATTTTACAAGGTAAATTTCCTGTATAAATTTGTCAATTCAAAAAAATCTAGGTTTGTTATGAATACTAAAATATACGGCAAACAATCTTTTCAATTAGAAATTATCCGTATCGGAAAACAATTATTATACAACAAATAATTGTTTCGTCGAAAATTCAATTTCCTGTGGATGATCACAAATCGGTGACCAATAACTGTCGCTTCATCATTTGAAACGATTCTCGATATTCGGCATAACTTTCCTCTAGGTAGCAGGTTTTTTTAACATCGACTCCCTAATGTGGCGGAAAAGCTGTACGAGCGCACGACAATCGACAGGAACAAGCGTGTCTTCGTTAAGGACATTTCACTCAATTTTTACCAAATTTGGCACAGGACTTGGCTGTCGCGTTTATTGGCTATATGATCCTCGCAAAACGTCTCGACGTCCTTTCTCTAATTTCTCTCACAACCGATCGTCGTTGATTTCCGTTATGAGATTGCTCCGTCAGATTCAATTTATCACTATATAAAAAGAAACTAATAAAATAATAAGAAGCTTATTATCTTTCTTATTCTTTGTCAAATGTTTAAACATTGTGCTATTTGTCTATCAAATTTGTCAAAACTTGAATAATAATCTTCTTATTTATTTATTTTTTACTAAGTTTCAAATAATGTCCTGAAATATATTATAGCATTATTCAATTATAATTATCTATGCTTGAAAGGGAGCAATCTCATTCCAGCAATATGTCCGCAATATAAATTAAAAACAGCCAACAAAAATTTATTTTCCTTAGTTGAAAATCTAATTTCGATTTACGAAAAGATGAGATTTTAATTTCGCTAAATACATTGCTGTTGACTCATTTTAATCCCCAACTTCTTGCAGATAGTTTATCTACGGTTCAGTTCTCGCTGAGACATCGGCTAATTGGTAATCTACTTTATTACCCGGATGACAAAACGAGTCTCAAAACTGATCTCTCCACGTATGCGATGTGGATCGAAAGATCGTGTTTATAAGTTTCAAGGGTTCATCATGTGTGACAATGTACAACAGATCGGGCTTGTAAAATCTCGTTTAAAGGTTTTCCGGCAAAGCGATTTACAATTCTGCTTCTCGTGTGTGTGCTCGCATTTTCTGGCGCGTGTATCGGAAATACGCTTCCGCTTCTTAATGAGTCGTCAGCAACGACACGTGTCGGTCGATACGCTTCTATTTACGGCCAAACTGTTTTCGCATGTGTTTTCGCGCCGACGGAATATTCATCGCGCGCGAAGTCGAGTCGCGCATTTCGAATCCGGACACGCGAAAGGAATACTGCTTGCCCCGTCCCACGTTTTCACGATGTTTTCGAGAGGAAATCGGAAGAGAATAAATAAGTTGTCAAGTCGCGTTTGATCGTGTCGCGTTATACTCGCTTCATCTCTCTGCGCGAGTAATAATTCACGTATTTAACGTAGTCAAGCGATAACAGAAAAATTGGTAACAATAATGGTAATGTCCAATAAAAAGGTCGAAACTTAAAGTAATACCGCAATACCGTTTGTATATCCCATCAGTATAATTAATTATTAAACAATGTACCAACGTAGAAAATAACATTTAAGGGATTTTCCTTTCTCTTTCTCTCTCTTTACACTCTTATAAATATAGTTAATTAATATAACAGCACTTCTCTTAGATCCCATATTGAGCTCGAAGGGAGAACGATCGCGCTTATCAATTGCCTCCTTCCTTCTTTTCCGAGCAAAAAAGAAACCATAAAAACGATCTCCTTACTGCGCCGCATATAATACATTACACAAACCGCACATTTCCTGTATTTTCCATTTTTTTCCGTCTTAACGTTCTTCTCTCTATTTTGCGGAAACGAAGATTCGCGCGGTAAAGAGTTAAGCGCGGTCGTGCCTCTGCGAGCGCTCATTCACGATCCTATTATCACAGTCAAACCTCCACCCTCTCGTCTCCCATATTATAATCGCAAATATAATAACGCTTCTTTCTTTTTTTAACATTCCTCGTTCCGTCGGAAAGTGCAGCGATTTCAGAATTTGTTCGAGTAAATGATGAAATATTTTGCCAGCACTTTCGCGCGCGAGTCGTTCATCTCGAAAGTACGGCAGCAAGCTTTGAAACGCGACAAACTTAATTCATTTATGCCCGAAATTGCTCCTCTGTCCAGAATTTCATCAAATCGATATATGCCGATGAATTTCGATAAACGTAATTTTCTTATTAATATAGTTTAGAAATTAAAAATTCACCCAAGTGGAAATAATTTTTAACATTTTCCTAAAAAACCTTCTCAAGGTTTCGAATAAATAATTATAAAATTATAAAAAATATTTCACATAGATCCCGTTATGTTTTTCAGATCTTTAATATATCTTATAAGCATTAGATGTGTGTTAAAAATAATCACTAAAAACAAAATCACTAGGAAATAAATAAAATTAAAATAAATTTAGTCACATATTTTGTATCAAATAAATTATTAACGATCAATTAAGCATAAATAAATTAATTGAGACACAACAAATCGATGCTCTTGTACGTTTCAAGATTCTCACAGTTTGTCTAAATAGTTTGTCGAAATAGAGTCACTTTCGACATAAACGACTTGCGTGATCGAATCCAGAAGATATACGTCGTCTTTACTTCCAGAAACAATCGAGAGCATGCAGTAGGAACAGTCACGCAAGAGAATACGGATTCTTTCTCTCTCTTTCTCTTTCTCTCTCTTACTCTCACTCTCTTTCTCTCGTATCTCCGGGTCCATTCGAGCTGCGCAATTTAACCCTTTCAGTACCGAACTAAATATAGGGACATTAGCACCTTCCTCTTGTTAAATCAACGCAATTTTACAGCCGGTGTTCATCAGTGTGTTCGCTTAACTTTAACTGTCATTAAGTAAATATTCCCTTACGGCTCGTCATGGGGATACAAATATGCAAATGCTAATATTTAGGCAAGAGTCTTCGTCCATTTCAACTCTCATTTGAATTTGTTAAAAATCCCTTTTTCTATTTGTAATGTATTATAGTTTACGCTACGGTCTGTAAAGTCTGTAAACATTGAGATTTACTTAAATAATGTCACATTGAATGATGTCAGCAAATAACTACAAAGTCACACTTTTCTTCAATTAGAAAAGTTTTTAAAAAAACCAAAAGCTTTGTTAATTGAAGAATCTACTTTGCGATAACAGAGGAGAATAGGGTATATTTTTTAAGAACCTGGCCGTCAAGCTTCAAACTATAGAGCGGTGTCGTTACTCTTTCCTTCAATAATATTCAACGCTTACATTTGCAGTTTCGTTGCTTAATTAACATAGAACGCCACGAATTATCTCCCAAATAGCGTTTCATCGAAATTTTGTTGAGTGACAGAAACTTAAAATTTAGTCTCATCGAGATCGCGAGACGACGAGAACGTGGCGGGGACAAGGGATACATCGTGGAGTTTGTTTTTCTAAAATTTTTGTATCATTATTAAATGCAGGTTTAAGGCAGGTACTGAAAGAGCTAATGGCGGATAAGGAAAGCGAGCTCCTCTATTATATCTCGGTAGATACTTCATCGTCTCTCGGTGAAGTATCGTCGCACGGCGCCGTGTATCGCGCGCTACATCGAGATAAGATTACCCATTTGTGATGCTATATAACATTGTGTCGATCTTTTTTAATATATCATATATATAGCAGCGGTGATTGAGTAGTGCCCGACTAGCTCGAAATACATAATTAACGAACAATTAATCGCGAAGTATGCGTTGTTAATCTATATTTGTATGTATAGATACTTTATATGTATATAACTGTTTATATATACTATATGTATGTATATATACATATACCATTTTGTTCATTCTGTTTCTCTTGTCGTACCCCGGGACTTAGGTACACGCGTGACTAGTAGTTCAAAAAAGAAAAGGAAAAAAAAAGCAGAAATTCCTTCGCCCGCCGCGCACTTACCTTCGATTTTCTCTCTATATGTGTGTTCGTATATGTGTGTCTGAGGTATCTTTTTTTATGCATATATGTATGTTTCTGTCAGAACAGCCTATAATCTGCAAGCGCTCACAATCAGTTCTAATTCACGCGGTCGCTTCAGGTTCGCTCGAAAATGGATATTCATTCCCCCGCGCTCGGGATGCACGTCCGAGATCTCTCTCGTTTCACGAGACACGGCTGCCTCTCTAAACTCCCGCGGAAGTCTAGGTACTAGAACAATAACTCCTATTCGGAGGGACGATCGCGCGATGACTATGCGTGGGATCGACCCTCGCGGGTCGCCGACGAACTAGCGCGGCGACGACGAAGACAATGATGACGACGACGGCGACGACGACGACGAATACGGTCGTCGTTCACGAGGCGATGCTACGCGCGTCGGCGGAGCGACGGGACCCCGTGTTATTTTTTGGCTGAATTAAATCGCGTTCCATCGTCGAGGGCTAACTCGGCGCATCTTCCGGTTCCACCACGCCGCCGGAAGGCCCCTGGCCACCACCCTGGCTCATCGCTACAAACTGCTGCGATAGCGTCTGCAGACTCTGCCGCACCTACAAACAAACATATTTTTCTCGTATCAAAGGAATATGACACAGTTAGTCACTTAAACTATTTGATTAGACACCGGCCATCAACCACACCTGGTCTTTCCCGATTATCTTTGATTTTCAAGTATCGATAAAATCCAAACACCTGACACTATTACGCAATCAGAATTACTCATAAATTTATCTATTTTAATTTTAGAAGAAAGTAAAATGATGTAAGAGAAAATATACAAGTGTTATTGTGTATTTCCAACTTGTACTTTTTAAAGTAATAAAAAAATTTATTTAAACCATCAATAGATAAAAATTCAATAAAGTCACTTAATTTAAAAATAAATTAAAAAACACTATTTATTGAGGCCAAATATTATTACATAGTCATTTCCAGTTCGTAATTACTTTTTTGCAGACATTACATTTAAAAAACGTTTATTTATTAAGTTCGAACAGATTTCACTGCAACAGATTCGTATCGGTAATCAAATCCATCGTGATCACAAACCATCACTTCCTGGGGCAATTTACCTTTACTATTTGATCCAGATTCGTGTTAAGATAGTGCAACAGCCGATCCTGCGTGAAGCGTTCCGGCGAGACGAGGGGGTGGTTTAAATAAGCGGTGTGCAACCTGTCAATACGCATCATCATAAGAGCCGCCGATACGTAAAGAACTGCCAAGAGAGCCACCAGTATCGCTATCACCATGCCAGGCTTCAACCCGTTGGTAAACAGAGATCCCAGCCGGTCGGATTTGCTCGGTGTCAGCGTCTTCGTTAACATCACTGTTTCCAGCCTGAAAGAAAGTAAAAATAAGCGGAATAAGCGACAATTACGAAAATAACTTCAACGTATCACATTTCGCAAAACTATGAACTAAGAGAAAACAGAGACTTGATAAAATTATCTAGACCTTTTCGTTATTGCGCGATTTTACGAAAGCAAATAAGATCTTACTTTATCATCCTTCATTGTTACATAACTTTATCTCATTTTTGCTAGCTTTCAATAGCTTCGTGTAAAATAATTTTGCGGCAATTAATTCAATTAATCGAACTTCCTTTTTCTTATTTGATCTATATATACGTCGGACACGGAAGACACACCTGGCGGGTGGCAAACTCGGCCTGGTGATAATCGGGGAAGTGCCGTCGATCTCGGTGCAGGCGGTCGGCGATCTGCTGGCCGCCGTAAGATCGGTACCGCTCTCGGACATGCTCGACTCGTCCTCCTCGGCGTTCACCTCCTCGGAGTCGTCGACCAGCAGCGTCTCCGGCGTGAGGAGCTTGGTATCGGTGTCGAGCGCCGGCAACTCGTCGTCCGCCGTCGCCCGCGGCTCCATCGCCGCATCCCAGACCTGCTTCATCAGCTTGTACGTGGAGTCGCGCGAGAGCAGCGAGCAGAAGACGTGACGCTCCTCCTCAGTGGCCACCGCCACCGCGTTCGGTATGATCCGCGCCGTCTTCTCCTTGCTGATCTTCAGCACCGACACCGTCGGTATCAGCAGCTTCGTCACGTAGCCGAACACGTTGCTGTAGAAGGCGAAGTAGTTGGGCGTGATGTACAGGTGGCCCTGCAGCAGGATGTCGCCCACCAGCGCGCAGCTGTAGTAATTCAGCACGCGCTCGTCCTCCGCCACCTGATAACGAAATTTCGAAGACTACGCATTAGGTCGGTACTGCCCTTTCGCCGACGCGACGAAACTCCTTCCTCAAGGAGTTCCGTTCAAGGGGTTCAAGGGGAGGGCCGGGGGGGTCGTCTCCAACCTTGTCCATTCACGTGAGTCTCGCTAATCTTTGTAAGATACTGCCTGATAGTAAAACGAGCTCGAATGCGACAAACCATCGATTCATAAACAGAAAACGCAACGCAAAATAGTCGTAAAGATTAGTGTGTTAAGATGAAGCTAGGCTTCATTTTCTTCGCAAAGTATCCTAGTATCCTAGGATCCAGATCCCTTTCTAGGAACACGCTTTATTTGCCACGCTTGACGCTCGGGACAACTCGACTCGAGTTACTGTATATACTCCTCGCTTGAGCGTGTGACAATTTCGCCCTGAAGACGGACTCTGTTCAAGTTGACATGCGATACCTTGTTTATCAAACATAAGAGAGTGTCATTATTGCGCCACGCTTGCATTCATATTAATAATTCCGCTCGCGACGCGACACTATTACTACGTAAACATACATATTCGACAATAACGTCGATCAAGATCAATTAGCGAAGCTGCGAATCTGATATATTTTCGCGATTTATACATTCCTCCCATCAAACACCTAGATCTTTTAACCCTTTCTGAAGTTCATCGGCGAGATGAGGGAAAGTATTTTTATACCGCACGTAGACGAGGCATGCATTGACGTTCATATCCTACGCGTTTATGCCCTACGTCCGGAGAAGTTTAAACAAACTGTCCGCCGGATGAAGACGAGGTAAGTATCGCAATACGATAATGGGTTGCTGCGTTGGGAAGAGAACAGCCCCCGCAACATCTGCGGGCCGTTTTTTTTTTTTTTTAGCTCTTATCGTACCCTCTCGTAAGCGATTATTATCGTGGGCTCTGAGAAAATGGATGTACCATTTAAACATAATCTCTACCTGAGTGAAGTGCCTGTGGAACTTCTTCTGCCTCGCGCTGCTGGTAGACGTCGGCGACGACCTCGACGAAGATCTGCTAACCTTTGCTGGAGTTTGCGCGCCGCCAGCTGCCATCGATGGTGTACTCCTACTCAATGGCTTCGAAAGGTGACTGAGGAAAGAAGAAAACAAAAACGTATAAGAAGACCTTTATTCATACATATTATTAAATATTACGCGAGAATGCATTTAATTTTTATGCGTGTAAAGGAAAAAGTCCAATCACTTAAGGTACTTAAGTAATAAAAATTGAGACCATCTAAAAAGACATGTGAGGCATTTTTTTTTTTAATACAAAATAATCGTTGAGATCAAAATTGCACCAAGAACACCTCATTGAATAATAACATTATGATAATTACTTGGTTGTAAAAAAATAATATGATTGAATACTGAGCAAAATCATAAAAATAAAAATTGTATATGTAATAATAATTATCATTATAAATGTGATGGTATTTATAATCATAAAGATAATAATTATCGTAGAAACAGTAATATAATATCCATAATCCAGATACGTTTCTCTGACGTACATTTTTATAAAATAAAATCAGACAATTTGTTCGCGCGTGAAATTTCTGCGGCTTTAAAAGGTCAATTGAAACCTTTCCCTTTTTTCCCGACGCTATTGTATTTCGTTTTACGTCGTTGAATTACCTTACTATTTCAAAGATTACTATCAGGTAAGAGGAGACTGTGCGTTGGTGTCTCGCTTACGTATCCGAATTTAATATGCACGTTGCAAACAATAATTAGATATTATTATTTCCTGCGACATTCCGGATGCAAGTCCGGAAAAGGATATCAAGCGTTTGAACGGTCGCTGATCTTCTCTAGGGGACAAGACGATAACCTGTGTGTGAACGGTTGCAAGGGTTATCTTTTTAATGTATTATCGAAACATAGCCGGACGATGCTGTTTGCATCATTTTAACGTGTTGCACAACTCGTTTTTTGTATGTCGCCAGTATGGCCGTGCAACACGCAGAACGTTTGGAGAGATTAAAAGTCTTTCCTCGACGATAATTAAATGCGATAATTAATTGCGACGAACTTTGGAGGCTTAAGACACTTCGCTTTCAGATTAATCTGCAATTAACTTTATCTTCAATTTAATTTGACGCTTCAGAAGCATCGAGACATTTAGCGCCCCGAATTATAAATTAAAACGAAGGGAAGTTTTTCGATTTGGATTTCCGCTCAAGGAAATAAGGGATTATTCGTGTAATTCTTTTATCACTTATATTGTATCTTATCCTCAACTTTATTACAGACTTAAGAAGTAAAATTGTAGTACTTCTACGTCTTATCTCTGATTTTATTGAAGTCTGTATTACGAACAAATAAGCAAACGAAAAAAAAAATAAACATTGCTAACTTGTTGGATTTGGTCTTTTCGGAGATCGTCCTGTTTCTTTTCCCCATAACGGAGATACTCCACAAATCGTTGCCCCACATCTCCACCCGAGTTCCCATCGTGGAATTTTTTGTCGAATTTCCTTGTTTTTCACGTTTCAAAAATTGAAACAATCTCATGCGTGCACTTTTGCCGGTCTACAGTTCGTACAACGGATCGCTCTCGATCACAGTTCCATGCTGAACGGTGACAAAACTCACGTATCGCAAAAAAATACGAAAACCTTCACCTCTGAAAAGTTCCAACACAAGCGAAATAGATAAAATAATTTAGATAAAATAAATACGTGAAACTTTGTACAGCTGTTCCATATAGAAAAAAAACAACTTTTTATTGGATAAACGGAGATTATTTTCTGTTCAAATTATTGTTTCTTCTCCAAACGTTGAAGAAAATATTAAATATATAAAATATTAAACATTAATATTATAATTATAAATAAAATATTAAATATATTAATTTAATTAATTAATTAATATGTACTAAATGTTAAATATATTGTTTACCGTCATCAAAACCTACATTTCTTGCTATGAAAAATAGACTTGAAATTCAAAAACTCAATTTACCTTCCGCCAATTTAATCAATAAAAATATTTGAAATTAATAATTAAAATAATATTCAAAATAAAGTTAATAATTAAAAATTTATACCTTCATATAATACCTGCCTAAAATCACATATTATTCCTGAATTCGAGCACTCGAGTTCAGATAATACTAAAGATATAGAGAATGTAAAACAATTAATTATTCCTCCTCTTACTTTTCTTTGTTATTACGATAAAAATTAGTTATAATCGATCAGATTTTTATTTCTTTTCGTTAAAGTGCCGCATTGCAAAAATTTGAAAAAAAAAAATCGAATGACCCGATATGATTCACCGACCGCGCCGATACTCATCTCGGCGATCGCGTCGCGTATCGCCGCGATTTTCGCACGTGAAGACGTCCGGCCGTCGTGCGGCGTAACGCGTAACTGGTGTACGATCCGTGGCTTAACAATCCGCTGCCGGCGACGATGATAACACGTGGGAGACTGTCTGGAGCGGCCGTTGTGCCATCTCGCTCGATTAAGAGGCTGGCCGGAACCAAAATGAAAAAAAAAAAAATCACCTGACGATAACTGAAGTATGCAATAAGCGGGTTCAATGATAATGAGCGACAAGATAAAAATGACAGATAAAAATTTCGAGTGCGATAAAATTCGCGAAAGCCCAATCAAAGGCCGTAATATATCGACAGAGGCACCAGGCACGAGTCTCGCGATTCGGTATATAATTCCGCGAAAGCGTTCACGAGGCGGGGCAGGAAACGAACGAAAAGAATACTTTTCTTCCGATATTGCACATCACGTCCGTTCGATAAGGCTCGTGACGTATCACGAGTCTTCTTCTTGTCACTGTTCGCGCACGCTTTTTTGCTTGGGATTATCTTTCGCGATACAGTCCATATGTTGTCGTTGTATACAGAACGATTCTAATCTCCACCGGGCAGCTGTCAGAACTGACCTCTGTTAATCCCCTTTTTTTTTTTTATTAGTGAAACGATTACTTCTACAGGATGAATGTACATGAAGAATATACATTTAGTTTTTATAAGAACATGGTTTGTATATAGTGCTTTGGATAGATGAATATTAATAAGGACTTGACGTAAAAAAGGATCGTAAACACACACACACACATATTTATCGTGTAATATCTGCCTCTCTCTCTCCATGCCTCTCGCCAGAGTTAAGATATCTCTAGAAAAAAAGTGGATGCGCAGATCTCTTTAATTAAAAAGTTTCGAGTCGAGCTGGACTTGATAACACTCAAAGAAACCGTATAAATCACTTTTAATGGTGTAAAGGCTGTTACAAAAAAATATCACGCTTGTATAAAAAAATTTTTTAAATTTTCCACGAAGACCGAGTGAAGACCTTGTTACTCGTCGAAAACAAAGATTCTTTTAATTTTGTTTCGGGAAGGGCTGCGAAAATGTTGTCGACGATCGAACAACGAGATACTTACATCTTGTATCGAGACGGTTTAGTGCACAAAAGGCAATTTCGCCCAGATAATACGCGCGACGTCACGCTTTGTACCGTAATAACCGTTTACGGACGGCACGCATGGAGCGGCTATTGTAAGAATGGCCGCAAAACATTCCCGTACGATTGAACTGTTTCAAAACACAATTCTATTCTCGATGTGATTTAACGCCACAAGTGCTGTCTAACCCCGCGGCCATTTAGCGTTAAGCATGCGATGAAAATATATCGGCCTATATCGGCGCCCTGCCTCGCAAGTCGCTCGGTTTTTTAACCTTTGAAGGACGGAAGTCTAGTTTTGCAAGTCTCAGCTTATCTACTAGAATTAATATATTTTATCGGTCCATATAAGTACGTATCGTAAAAAAGCAAAATACGTTACGTAATTGAACGCTCAAAATAACGTATGATTCAAAACACACTTGAACTTGTTATTATTTTCTAAATATGATTTGTCTCATTAATACGCAATCTACTCTAATTGAAGATACTTCTCGTGTGTGAGGAAAAAAGAACTTTTTGCAATCGTCAATTTCCTCGCGTGTATTACTCTTTAATAAATTATTTAACTTGTAATAGAATAATTCGCTCGGGTGCATTCGAAATTTAAAAGCTTAATAACAAATAAATAATAAAATAATAAATAAAAGTAATAAAAAAAGAATTTTTTCTTTGATTAATTGCATGTATTTCTAAAATTACTTCCTTTACGAGTCGTCTGTTTAAGTTACGCCGACAAAAAAGTAGTCTGACTTCGCCAACATTATTATGGCAAGTGTACCGTAATAATATTTGGAGATCATAAATAAATGTAGTTAATAGCGGCGTTCGATAATTGTGATGTGTCAGCTATCTCGTATATAGAAACGTATTTCCCAACATATACCGACAGATAAATTAATTAGATCGTCTTATCACGAAAGCGTATAAAGTCAAGACTTTATACGCTTTTTATCACACAATCCCCCTCTTCCTTCCACCCTGCCATCTGCGTTTCTCTGCAATTTCTGTGCAGGTGTGACATTATCATCGTCGTTTTGCCCGTTGATAATTTCTAAGAACCGATAACGATTTCACGCGCGAATCATCTGACTTGCGGAAGCAAAGTTGAAAATAATAACGATATCAATAACGCTAATAAAATGCTCATGCAGATATATGCAAAATTATTCATCGTTCATTATTTTCACGTGTCGCGAGCAAAATATTACTCAAGGATCAAAGGCAAAAGGAGAGCGTTTTTTTGCATGCCGCCCCGAGGACATAATTACAAAGTTGTCGCTCTTTTAAAAAAAATTTTTTTTAATGAGATATTTTAATATTTAAAAATAAATTAAATATTGAAACCTATAATACATAATTTATATGTCGTATTTACAATCTTTTCGCCTAAAATAAATATCTATAATTTTGACTAAATTTTCTCCCTATTTTTTAGTTTTTTAGATTTGTTTATAGAAACCTGTAATATATATAACGTGCATACATGCCAATCTTAAGACAATATGAATAAGAAACGCGGCTCGCATCAGGTTTACGGCCATAAATCCGTGTTATAGCAAGCGCAGCAGCGTCGAGCAATCTTTACGACAGAGCGGGGAGCCTCACCTGTCGTTACATTTCAAGGCCGCGTGACTGGGGCTCCTCGGAGGCGGAGGATAGCTAGCGCCGGCCACGGTGAGTTGGGACCCGCTGATCGATTGTTGGCCCCCGGCTTGCGGTGCATCGGGAGCAGCTTGCACGGGCGTGCTGGGTGCTGAGCGCGCGCCTATGGACCCCGCAGACCTGCGAACAAGACGAAAGATGGCGATTTGAGAAAAATGAGACTTGGAAGAGGGAGGGCTGGCGCTGCAATTTGTGGAACCTTTCATTCCCTATTTTATATCTGCTGTGCTCGTTTTTTACCCTTGATCGTTCATAAATCTTACAGAAATAACACTATGTCGATAACACTTATATGAAAAATATTATAAATGCAAAATTGTAACTTTCCCGGAGAGTTAATTGTTAATTGTTCATTTTTTTTCTTCCTGAAAAGTTAGAGTGGAAATATATCGGTTGCTCCAGTGAATCAGTTTTGTAAAATAATAAGTGCAACTAACATTTTATCGAAATAATTTACATAATTTATACAATAATTTACACAATTTATAATAACGTTATTTCCGAAATAAATATAGTATTTAATGCAGATGATCTAAAAATCAAAAAATAATATTGCTTTTACGTAGTTATTAGCTTCATTAGCTTCGTTAGCTGGATTTTGCTAAAAATATAAAATAAAAATGTATCGTGTGCGTCAAATCCACCAGAGAAAGATTAATAAATCAATTCTGATATCGAGGAATAATTTAATAAAAAATTACACGTGTCCGCTGATAAAGATATATCAATTTTGTTACTACGACTATACACACACACACACAGTAATATAGTGTCAACTATAACATTTACAATAATTTACAATCCTAAATGGGGTTTCTTCTATTGTTCGTCCGCAATCGGTTACAAGTAATCTTTTCTTAAATTAAAAAATTCAAGAGTCTCCGTATCATCTTCATCTTCAATTTGGATAAAAAAACAGATGGCATTATTTACTCAAGAGCTTATCACTTTCAGTGTCACAAATCACGTACCTTGCCCTGGTGATGAGTGGGCGAGACGAGAGGCAAAGGTTGATCAGCGCTCGGGTTTCGAACTCCATCATCGTGAATACAACGTTACGAAATGTTATTGTTATATTATCGCCGGGATAATAATCTGTGAGGCAGATTCCCCCTGTCCGACAAAAAAGCTATCGCGCCTTGTGTTTAAAGGTAAGCTTCAACGCCGGTTACCAGTCGATCGGCAATCGACGTGAGCTCTGCGATCGATCTGCGTGGTTTATCAGACAGACATCGGCAGATGTCCAAAGTGATTCCCGGTAAAAATTGTTATCGAAAGTCACACGGACGTCGACAGGATGATTCATCGATATATTTGGTTACACGGTTGGCGAATTTCCTTCGAACGGACGGTAGCTTGTACCCCGCCATCACACAAGGCCTGCTCGCGCGACGTGATAGCGGGAGCAATTTTATCTGCAGCTTTTATCCGGCTTATCGCTCGAGTTGGGTAATGACAGAGCGTGGAAATAGCCCGAGTGGTGGGTAGCGATTAATACGTGAAAACGGAAGGGAAACAGTAGCGACTAATATTACCGCGAGTCGAGTTTAGACGAGTTGGTCGCTCGCCAAGTTCGACGGACGTGAGGCGAGAAGAGGACGAAGACACCGGGCAGAAACGAGATCGGGCGCGAGAAAATCGAAGAGAAAAGGAGAAAAAAAAGGGAAGTCGTCGGGACGGGATGAAGTTAAACGGGGCGAAAAGACGTGGCGCGGTGACTAACGAACCAGTTTCGGTCCGCTCTTCGCCGCCGCGAGAATAACCACACCTCACCAGTCACCGCACGGGTTCAACGAGCCCGGTTGCCTTTAACAAGCGCGGCGGCTCGCCGTGACCGCGGCCGATGCACAATGAGGCGAGAAGCGCGAACCGAGCGCGAGCGCGGAAAAAGAGGGGCCCCGCCGACTCTCACACGCCGCGAAACGGAACGACCGCGAGCGCGGGAGCAATGCAACACGCGGAGACACCGTTCAATAGAAACCGCGTTGGTATCGGTACTTCCTGAAGATCCCTCTCTTCGAATGCCGCCACTTGGCGCCCATCGATCGCACGGCCAGCCTCGCGAGGAAGATGATGCCCATCTCGAAGCGGCGATTTTCTTCGTGGAGAGAGAAGAACTCGTCCGTATCCCGCGCCTCGCGAGAGCGATCGGTACCGATCCAGCGGTCCGATTCTCTCGTCGTGAAGGAGAGAGTTTAGAGGAATCGGGAAGTCGATGAGAATGGACGGAAAGATTGCGAAACCGAGTACGAGAAGTGATGAGAGTTCAGGGGGGTTGATTGGGAAAACGAGCGCGAGTGCCGCGAGTCCAGTACTCCACGGGCCAGCCGGGATATCAGACTGATCGCGGTTAGACACGTTTGTAGTTTCTTACCCGTCGCGACCGACCCCCACGACCTTCTTCATAATTGACAAATCCGCGATGTACACCTGGCTACGTAATACGGGATCTATAGTTCGCGCTCTAGGATACTTGTACTTGAGTTATACGAGGTCTACGAAGGCGCACCGCATGGATCGAATATCGCGTACGTTAATGAGTACGCGAGGACGGAAATTGACGCTAAAATAGATCGAAATTTAACGATAACGTAATCGCTCACAATTATTAATGGCATAGCGTTAAGCTAGATGATGCGCAATTATAAAAAAATTAAAAACCCACTGCTACCTTGAAAATTTGTGCGTATATAAATATCATTATTATATCAGTAATATTGTGCATAAGATGTTGGAAGAAATTAATTTATATAATATCGAGAGAGCATTTTATGACGTTGCATTTAAACGATATCAAAGTTAATGCTTTAAACTTTAAAATAAAGTAATTATTTTAAAAAAATCAAAACTGTTCCGTACAATATTTGTAAATTATGCAAGTACATATGTAAATTATACGCTGTTGTGCAATATACATATAGAAAAATGATCTATGTATGAAACGTATTATCCTTTATATGCGTAATGAGGAAGTAGCAAAGAATATTACAATTACGATTACGTAAAGCGAAAAAGAAGGATGAAACTTCACACCAGTTTGCGTCACTTCGGATGTTTAAATAAATATCATTATCCCGGCAAATTGATGCATGCGGAAACACACGCTCGAGTTTCCCGAGCAACGCAACACTTCGCTGAACCGAGAGGAAGCGCAAAATATTTCGTCATTAAGCGCTGGTGCCTCCGGACTAGAAAAGAATTATGCGCTCTCGTCGTCAGGTCGAGATTCTCTGGCAATCTCCCAAAAGATCGAAACGCTGAACGCTCTTTCTCTCTGTGCTGCACATCAATAAGAGGCAGCAAGAGGAAGGAGAATCGTAACGTTATTGATGCGTTTTCAAGTCTCTACAGTCTAAAATCGAATACCAGCAATAGCGAAGCCGATGAAGGCCATTACTCTCGTTAAACCGTGCTATAATAATAATCACTTGAATACAGTGAAGTAAATGTACACGTTGAAAAATATAATATATTTTTTATACATATAATTTTCAATAGAAAAATTATATCTATAATTTTTTTATATATTTATATTTTTACATCTTTACTGTTTATGTATATATATGTATATAAACATAGAAAGTTAAAAGTAAAAATGTAAAAAGTATACAAAAATATAGAGATACAGATTAAAGCAATTAATATTAAAATTACAAATAAATTTTACGCTGCAGGAATAATAGCTGTACACATAGAAGCTCGCCTATACCTACACCAATCGAAAGCAAACATCCACGAAATTAATTGATTTATTAATCTCTCAAGTCGCAATGAGATGCGCGATTGATAGCCGGCTACTTTAGCGTAATGGCACAAGATACATGCGCGATGTCGACGACGTGCCGTTCTCCGGAAAGTGCACGCAGTTGTGACTATTATTATCTTATACCACGCAGTCACGGACATAACACGGAATTTGATTAGAGGCTCACTCTCTCTCCCTTTGATTCGCGATATCAATAAAGCGATGCTCACCAACGCCTAGTGTCGCGGTGTCCTGCATTATTGAGATGCGCCAGGTGTTCTCCGATTGCGCAAAGTTCTTTCTTGAAGGCCGTAAAAAGACGTCACGCGAACATGACAATTGTACAAAGTTCTGCCGTAAACTCCGGATGAAGTGTCTAAAAGTTACGTCCTGTGCCAGGACACTGCGTAACTCGATGCGACAAATGGAAATGTTTCTAGAAAATCGATTTACGGAGCAATCCAACACGGACGCAAACAGATTACGATAATGATATCCAATTAAATAATACTGTTAGAAACAGAGTAAACATTTAAATTGAGGAACTCTTTGAAACCATATAATTACGTACAAACCTATAATTTTTACTTTAATAAGTGATAAAAATAATTGAATCATATTTAAGTGATATATATATAATGGAATAAATAATTAATAATGGTCATCAATAATTCAATCAATTTACCGGATTATTGCCAACAACATACACTGAAAAAAAATACTTAGAGCCAAGAAAATATTTTTTCACATAGTATCAATGACTTATTTACTTAATATAATATAATATAATTTACTTAATAATAAATAAAATAAAATAAATTAAGTAAAAATATCTAATTCTAAATAAATATGTGATTATATTAAGTAAATAAACCATTGGTACTATGTGAAAAAATATTTTCTTGGATCTAAGTATTTTTTTTTTTTCAGTGTAGATGATACTTTGGATTTGGTCGTGTTATTAAAGATCGAGTAAACATCGATAGGTAAACGTTTTTTCGTATTCGTATAATCTTTAAAATAATCCTCGGTGTCAGATAAATGATCGTGATGAGTCGAGATAATGAGACAGAGAAAGACACTTCATTTCGACATCACGCGAGTTGTCGGGAATGCAGCAAATACGTAGATGCTGCTGCATACATTTCCTTGACGACGAATGCGTTTGCATATTTATGCGTTTCAACGCCATTGAACTGTCGGCCGATTTCTCAGAGATACGAGCTTTAACGCCTATTGTACAGAAAATTATGCACACGTGACACATCGTTCAAAACGCGTTTTCTAATAGAGACGAATGCAACGCCAATTTATTTACGATAGCGCAATTTATATTACTGGGAAATATGTGAGAAAAATTTTATTTTTCACGCTG